ATGAAAGCCAAGTTTCATGGGAGGAGAGCCAGGTCATAGGAATTCGATATTGCATTGTTTTGGTTTTGTCTAAAAGATTTACATAATCAAAGAGTTTGCGTGTGTGTACGTGACGGCGACGGACAAAAGTCATCCCAAGATGACTTGGTAACGAAGAAACAAGTTCCATTTGGAACATTGGTGTATAAATATAAATATAATATTTTCCTCCTTAATGTAATTAAATATTAATTATTTCGTATGAAAGAAAGGGCTCTCGAATTTCTACTCTACTGGGAAACTGATTGGGTAAAACTGCAAATGCAATTGTCTGGTACCTGAGACAAGGACGATTAGGTTAACTAATTACTTGTTCACTGAATCAATGCATCTTTTGCTTAGTTTATTGGTTTATTAAATTAATTGGACGGTGTAAACTTGATGCTTGGAGAGCCTTGTTATCTGCAACCATAATAAACACCTTCTATATACATTATACCTATTAATTTCTTTTAAAGAATATTGAAAAAAATTGAGATTTTACTACAAAATTAATATGACAATATGAAGAGTAACCCAGCATTCTTAAAATTAACCAAAAAAAAAAAAAAAAAAATTGGACGAGTGACTCGAAAAATAATTGGCCAGCAGCAACAAGTTGTCAATGACCACAGTTTGGATCCAAATATGGATGACAGGAAAAATGTTGCAAGTATGAAAGTACTTTAACTTTGGGAAAGAGAACCAAACTTGGATCAAAGTAGCAAGGAAACTCTGATGGTCAGAGACTTTGACATCCAAAAGGTTGTGTTTGTGTGCGTCTCACATCTGTAAACAATAACGTACGTTATTTAGAGAAGCAAAATCAACACATTTCTCTAATAGAGATATGCCGTATCATTATATGTGGGACCCTCATGTATTACAGAATTTGTCAGCAAATGTGTCTATATAGCATTACGTTATTGATAAATTATGGATAAGTGAATGCAGGGAGTCTCATTAATGACTAATTCTTTTGGAGGATAACGCGAAGGTGGCGAACACTTCACTTGGATTCTAACACCTCATGTTATGAGTGTTTTCCTGGTCCTGTCCTTACAGAGACACACACACACACACACATATATATATATATACACACACATGTATATAAGCTTTTCCATATGTACAACCCTTTACCAAAGAATGACTTTTATGAGCAGCAAGGAATAACCATCAGTTTAAGTTATGCATCAATCTGCAAAATATGCTCACTATTCATTACATTACTACTACCTAGTGAGTGTGATTAATTGTGACTGGTACTTGTGGAAAAATATATATATATATATATATAGAGAGAGAGAGAGAGAGAGAGAGAGAGAGAGAGTGATCTAGAATCTAGAGATGAAACCTCCTCTCAACAACACGAAGCCAAATTATTTGTTGTGGTCGTCTTCCTATTAAGTTTTGATTCTAGCTTTTGTGGTGACATTTTTTGTAATATCCGTGCTGGTATCTGTTGGATACCTAATTGGACTTGACTAACATTATAAGTATATAAATCATCATCTGCTGCAATTGCAGCAGAGTTTTGTTCACAGATACTTTACACACGCATGCAAATAAACAAATCTGCTAAAAGTTGCATCCTTGCTGTCTATGAATCATCAGTCAGTATACACATGCAGTGGCCTTGCTGTCCACTATGCATAATCATTACATCCTTAAGGTGGGAACCATATTCCAATCTGTAAAGCACAGTGCACTGCATGTGGAGCATCAAATCATGGAGTGGATGAAACGGCAGATTGACTTGGGTTAACACCAACAACTGCAGTAACTGATTTCCACGATAGATGGAAATCAGATGAAGTCTGTGTATATATATAATCCAATTCCCTACTTGTGAAGTATCGTTCTGAGATTAAGGGTTCTATCACCTTTGGAACATAAGGTCTTAAACAAGTAGAAGAATTGCATTTCAACTAGTAAGGATGACTGCACCAGGTATCATGTATAAATTGCATGAATGTAATCTGGGATACTTGTTATACATCAAGTTTATATTTATATCAGTTTCCAACATTTGGTATCAGAGCCAAATAACAAGTCCCAGATTCGTTTTACTGCTTTATTATTATGATAAATGTATGATGATATATTTGAAATGTATTTTATATATCTCTCGAGTAGTGCAGTACTTGATGTACTTCTGATATTCATCAAAGTGAATATTGTTATTGTATTTCGTGGCTATTAAGGGGTCTTAAAAGATTCATAGCATGTTCATATATTTCTCAAAAGGGAAATATATATAAATTGCATGAAGGTTAATAAATTGTATGAATCATTCCCTATAAAAGTTTGCAATTGTCTAGTCCAAAGACTTGATGTATCATTGCGATTGTGGAATATTATGGCCAATATATGCAATATGGAAGGCAGTTTATGATTTTCACTCAAAAGTGCGATGTAAACTTGCAGCAGTAACTGCATACTCTTATTTGTAACTAACATTTCTATGACTGCTCCAGTGGTTAATTGAACACAGGCCATTGGTTGAAGGGCGTTGCTGTCTTGAACTGCACCAGCTGCCTTGTACCCGTGGGCTGCTTCCATGAACTCTGTTTTGATGAAGCCAAAAGTTGATGAGCTTGGTTGACGAATTTGGCAGTAGGGATATTCAATAATCACGCTGCAAACATGGGTGTGGTTGAATCTTTTGACTCAGCTGCTGTATGAAAGTAAAGGTTGTTCTTTCATTATATTTTGCCTTATGCTTTAAATAAAGCATGGACTTATGTGCTGGTGAATTTTACCATGTTAATGGTTCAGGTTTTATTTCAATTATTGTGTGTATGTACAAATATATGTATGCAGTATATTGAAATATTGTGGACTGATGAAAGATTCAGACCGAATCAGCTTGGTATTATAAGCATTCCATTGCAGCTAAATAAAAGCTTGACAATGGTGGAGCACTCTAATAAGTGGGAGCTTGGAAACAGAGCTTTAAATTTGTTTCAGTATTTGCATAATGTATATTTGACGGTTTGTGTTTCTTGCCCAAAGGTGTAACATAAATCTGTGTTGTTTGATGTTGCACTCTTTGCACACAGTTTGAACTTGATGTTGTGTATGTATGTTAAAGCAAAGGGGAGTGGAGATTGGGATTTATGTTGAACTTGAATATGGTTGCAAAATGATGTGAATATTGGTCGACTGCAGTAAAGTCTATGTGGTTAATTTAAAACTCATGAAATGTTCACATTCCTTTCCAAAGAAGGGGATGTATAAATTGTTAGAAGTTTTAATCACTGAATAGCCACGTTTGTTGTTGCTGCAATGTTACAACTCAATTTTGAATAGTGGGACTTAAGCTCCTTTTAGTCCTAGTTTGGATTCAACTGCCCTGTTTGAGTCTGTCTATGACTCTCTCCGTGAAATGTGGTGTCGTGCGGAAGGAGACCATGGTGAGGATATTGGTCTAGAAGATTACTGGGTTGCCTCTGATATTCCGAATGGTACCAGCTTGGTGGACTAATGTACACGACTTCAATGGTTTTCTGGCTAATACTCTTCTTGGTTGTGATTATAATTGTTTGCAATTATAATTTTTTACATAATGCTTTTCTTTGTAAGTCTTGTACAAGAATGATCCCAACGGAAAACAACTTAGGTTGCAACATCTGGAACAAATAATCATGTTATTTAACCATTGGACAAATGTTTATTAAATCTTCACCAAAGTGAGATTTTATGGAAATTTTGGTCTGGGTGCTGTTCTATGTTTGCCAACATATAGGATGGTGGAAGAGGTGATACTGCATGCTTGTGCCGAAACCATTCATGAAGTACGTGATGCCTTTATCTGATTATTTGGATGTGGCTTTGTTTATTAGCTTTAGTTGATGTTGTTTGGGATTTCATGGGTCACATACTAAAATCATGCAAGTGTTATATACATTTATGTATGCATGTGTGTAAATATACATGATAATAATTATACGTATCCATTTTGCTTATGTGAAAGATATGATATGTTATTATATAACTGTTGAATATAAACCAAGTTCCCAGAAAAAGTCACTGTTTCCTTGCTCTGCGAAGGTCGTTTCATTTGGTTTGTTTGATAGTAATTTACCAATTCTACACTTCCTTAACAGTGATATAGTGTAAAAGGAGTGCGGGCAGGAAACAGTTCATGAGTCAGAGTGATAAATCTATATTAAATATACATTTGACTTCATTTGGTCTGCATTCAAATCTGAAATTTTGTCTAATATTTTTTGTTTTGGAATGAACTGTCTATGCAAGTGCTCCAGAGTGTTTTCCAGCAATTCGCATTGCTTTATTGGATTTGTTTTCACACAGGTTGATCCTATAACTATGAATACTAGTGATGAAAGTAAATAATCAATGATAGCTGACCCTTTGACTAAGCCATTGGCAGTAGGAGTATTCAAGGATCATGTCTCTAAGATGGGAGTGCTTGAATCTCTAGAATCTGCTGAAGTGTGGGAGTAAGAAAAACTTGATGTAAGTCACATGTATATTTCAAATATGTCTTCGAATGTTATTTATGTTGTTCACTATCAAGACCTACTGAATCATATGCACTTGTTGAGCCTATTGGTTGTCTGAGTTGCTGACTGTATGCATGTATATGTCTATTCTAGTGTCTTGATGATTGGACATGAATAATTCGAGGGATGCAATTCGATGAATGCATCAGGATCTTCCAAAGTTGATCCATGAAATGACTGTTTTGAATGAATGAAGGAATATAAATTCATTGAAAAGTCTAAAGTTTCTTTCTACATATTAGTTTTAAGTATTTGTGGTTTCAGGGTGCTTGTGTTGTATATAAACACATGATTTTCTGGAGTTCAAATATTTAAATTAATTATGGTAGTTGAAAGGAAGTTAGTATGCGTGAAACTTGATGTGATCACATGAGGTATCAGTGTTGTGAAAGGCATGACTTTGATTATAATGTTTAGTCTGTGTCCATGTGGGAGAATGTTGGATACCTAATTGGACTTGACTAACATTATAAGTATATAAATCATCATCTGCTGCAATTGCAGCAGAGTTTTGTTCACAGATACTTTACACACGCATGCAAATAAACAAATCTGCTAAAAGTTGCATCCTTGCTGTCTATGAATCATCAGTCAGTATACACATGCAGTGGCCTTGCTGTCCACTATGCATAATCATTACATCCTTAAGGTGGGAACCATATTCCAATCTGTAAAGCACAGTGCACTGCATGTGGAGCATCAAATCATGGAGTGGATGAAACGGCAGATTGACTTGGGTTAACACCAACAACTGCAGTAACTGATTTCCACGATAGATGGAAATCAGATGAAGTCTGTGTATATATATAATCCAATTCCCTACTTGTGAAGTATCGTTCTGAGATTAAGGGTTCTATCACCTTTGGAACATAAGGTCTTAAACAAGTAGAAGAATTGCATTTCAACTAGTAAGGATGACTGCACCAGGTATCATGTATAAATTGCATGAATGTAATCTGGGATACTTGTTATACATCAAGTTTATATTTATATCAGTTTCCAACAGTATCCAGTTTGGGCGTCACGAGTTTGCTCTCGTGGTCATGGAGATTTGGTAACGTATTGGAGACTGAAGACTATTCTTCTTCTTCTTCATCACTAGCTTTCTCTGCAACTGCAACACCACCAACGCCGCCTCCTCAAGTTCTTGAAGCTGCTGCACAAGCTCATAACATCACTTCTTCCTCAAAACCAAATGAAAAAGTTGTCCCTCATCAAAATAATGTAAGATTTCTTTGTACTTTGTCTTTCTTTTTATTACAAAGTGATATTACTACTCTAAGCTAGACTAGGAAGAGAGAGAGGTTTTGAACTCTAAACCAGGGATGCAGTGGGTTGAAGAGAAAGCTCTCCGCCACCATTGGCAATAAATGTATTTATTCAAGCTAACAAGAATCTCCTGTTTATCTAACGGCACTAGTTGTATGTACCGTAGGGAGAAAAACAAGGGATGGTGTGGATCAATGGTACAGAATCTGATGAAACCAACGGGACGTCGGCTATAATAACTAGTACACCAATAAAGAGATATAGCAGGTTGGAGAAACTTGAAGCAAATTTGGCCGGAGTTCGGGCTTCCATAAGAAAAGCTGCTCGAGTTCGAAATCTAACTTCTACCCATGAAGATCCAGACTATGTTCCTCATGGACCAATTTACAGGAATGCAAATGCTTTTCACAGGTACGTATAATCTTAACGATTATACCATATATAATCTCTCTCTCTCTCTCTCTCTCTCTCTGTGTAATAGTATTAGTACTAATATATAGGCAAACTTTCCACAAATACTCCATGGACTATAATGGGTACCCGCAAATACCATCCGAACTAAAAGTCTTGTCAATTATCAGTTAAACTTGTATTTTAGAGTAAATGTACCACTTCCATTATTTTTAGGTAAAAAAATTTAGTTCAAACTTTCATGTGCAACACATACGAGCCTTATTTCCAGGCTATTTTTTCCACTTAAAAGACTCAGATGATTAAAGATAAAAATGTAGTTGATTAAAGTTCGTGGGTGGGACATATTATGCTTCCTTGAAGACAAGTTGTGGTTAATGAAATTCTCACGCAAGTTGTCTAGGGGCCTGGAAGTGGTGCGTGAAAAAGTGCTCATACACACACATGACTAGTTTGATGATATTTCTGACGGATATGGGCAGAGGCGGTATATTCACATTAAATGTGGACTTTGTATGGTAAATAGACAAGACTTTTAATTTCGGTAACATTTAGAAGTTCATGTGGTGTTTGTGCAAATTTGTGATCCGCAAGATGATCACTGATTAAATATGGTACAATTTATTATCATCGAGCTATATCTATATTACTGCAGGAGTTACTTGGAGATGGAAAAACATTTCAAGATATTTGTATACGGAGAAGGAGAGCCACCAATATTTCACAACGGTCCATGCAAAAGCATATATTCGACACAAGGGAGATTTATCCATGAAATGGAAATGGAGAATGTTTACAGAACAAGAGATCCAGATGAGGCCCTCGTTTATTTTCTTCCCTTTAGCGTGGTTATGTTGGTGCAGTACCTGTACGTGGCCGACTCCCATGACACTCAGCCCATCGGACGAGCTGTCATCGACTATGTCAACGTCATTTCTGATAAGCATCCCTTTTGGAATCGAAGCCTTGGTGCTGATCACTTTATGCTTTCTTGTCACGATTGGGTAACAACGAATCTTATATGTTCCTTCCAACCTTTTCCCTCTTTTTTCTTTCTTTTTCTTGCCCGTTTTGTTTGTTTCTATATTTTTTTTTAAAATATAGTCCAATATATACGGTTAGTGATCACTTGATTAATTTAGTGTTAATTATTGGCGCATTCCTTGACAGTTTAAATTTTGGGATACTTTGGATGCGGTCTCTAATTCTTAATATTCTTTAATTAAAACCTTAATAGTATTCAAAGTTTGATCAAGGTCCCTTGACTTTGTACACGTCATTATATTACTATTAATATTTATATTTTTATAGTTTTGACATTAATTGTTTGATATTTTATGAGATTTATAATCCTATAAATTTAAAATTCCTCATTATAATACTATTACAAACAGTTACAATTAAAAAAATTCAAACATTTTGATTGAATAAATGGATAAAAACTATGTAAAAATAAGAAATAATAAATGGCAAAAGAATGTATCCGTAATGTTAAAAAAATTGGTACATTTCACATATTACAAAGTGGTACATTAATAAAGAAGAATGGGTACATTATAAATAAATTAGGATACAGATAAAAGATTAAAAATTATGAATACAAATGAATTTTTAAAAATATAGGCGCTAAAAGAAATTAATACATGAGTACAAAATAAAACTAAAAAGAAAATACTACAAATTTTAAAATAATATTGCAAATTAAAAGTGGGTACAAACTAAAAATATAAATATATGATACAAATTTTAGGCATAAAACATAAATATACCATTGTAATTTTTCTATCATTGATTAAATATACAATGTTACGTGATGGTATACACATGGGTACAAACACAAATAAAACTTTAAAAATATGGGCACAAAAAGAAACTAATATATGGGTACAAATTAAAAATAGGTACAAACTAAAAATAAAAATATATGATAAAAAATTTAGCCATAAACATAAATATACTAATTGTAACATTTTTAACACTAAAGGAATATATATGTAAAAATAAAAATATTTTATTATTCAAATAATTAATGATGTTATTAATACCCAAGGACCTTGATCAAAAATTGAAAATGAAAAGATTTTAATTAATGGAGTAACAAAAAGAAGAATGTGAACCTAATTTTCCCTTAAATTTTTGTGTATAGTAGTTGTAAACATGATATTGCATGGGTTTAGGTTGCACGAGATCTTGGAACATCCAATCTTTCATCTTCTGTTTTTTTTATGTCTACGTGTCCGACTCTTCATCTACTGATGGGATTGCATATGAAGGCAGGTGTTCACTTGATATATATTGTTGGTCTTATTCCTGGCTTACAAATAGAATAGTGGTACCAAACTAATTTGTTATGAATTGATTTTGTCTATGTACATATGCAGGGGCCGAGCACATCTGCTTATGTTTCTAATTTATACCACAACTCCATAAGAGTGTCATGCAACGCAAACACATCCGAAGGATTCAACCCTTCAAAAGATGTCTCATTTCCGGAAATCCATCTCCGAACGGGGGAAACCGAAGGACTTCTCGGTGGTCTCTCCCCATCCCGAAGGTCGATTCTTGCCTTCTTTGCAGGCCGGCTACACGGCCACATAAGGTACCTGCTTCTAAACGAATGGAAAGAAAAAGACCAAGACGTGCAAGTTTACGACCAACTCCCCAACGGAGTATCCTATGAATCAATGCTGAAGAAGATCAGGTTCCGCTTGTGCCCTAGTGGTTACGAAGTGGCAAGCCCGAGAGTGGTGGAAGCCATATACGTAGAGTGTGTTCCAGTGTTGATTTCAGACAGCTATGTTCCGCCGTTCAGCGATGTTCTGGAGTGGAAGTCGTTTTCTGTGCAAGTGCAAGTGAAGGACATACCAAACATCAAAAGGATACTGATGGGAATATCACAAAGTCAGTACCTGAGAATGCAGAGGAGAGTGAAGCAGGTGCAGAGGCATTTTGTGGTGAACGGACCTTCCAAGAGATTCGATGTTTTCCATATGATTGTTCACTCCATTTGGCTCAGGAGGTTGAACATCCGCATTGAGGACGATCCAGTTGAGTAGAATCTTTTTCCTTCAGTATCATATATTACATGCATGGTAGTATGGTACATACCATGGGACTGTTAACAATTTTTCGTTTTTCCAATTGGGGAAAAGTTACAATAAAAAATAATAAATATATAAGGGCTTTTAGATCCATGTCAAAAAACATAGGTTGTTTTTTGAGTGAGCCAATTATCTAATTACATATTTTTATACTAATTTCTCCTTTAGATAAAAATATTTGAATTCATTAATTTTTGTGATAAAAGTAGATTATACAAAGAAAAAACATGTAATACAATTAATTGTGTTATAGGGAGACTATGAACAGAAACTTATGATATAAATAGATAAACAAGTAAACATGTGATAAAGGAGATAAAGTGTCATTGATCTGGGTAAAAAAAAAAAAAAAAAATATATATATATATATATATATATATAGAAAACATAGAGGTAGATTAATAAAAAAAATCTATACGATAGGTAGATAAGAAATTAATATGAGATAGATTATAAAAATAAAAACTTGATATAGGTAGATAAGTATAATTACTCAGTAATACAGGTAAAATAAAAACACATAAGAGTAGACTAATAAAAAAAAAATTGTGATACATGTAGATAAACATCAACGAACCCCACACAATTAAGAAGGCTACCATAAGATTTATCAAAAATATTGTAAGTATGAGTATTGCGTTGTAGTGGTAGCGGTGGTTGCGATGGTGTTCATGACAATGCTAAACAAAGGCAACGCCGATATGGTGATTGTGATTGTGATTGCTATTGCGATAGCGCTTGTGCTTGTGCTTGTGCTTCAGAGTGTACACAAAAATCATCCAACCTAATATAGATTACCAAACATGAAACATGTACAAGTCCTTTCAATATAACAGAATAAAATTGAGAGATCACATATATATATATATATATAGGTAACTTAATATAACACGTTTTATACTACAGCAGAAAGAAGTCTGGTAAAATAAAAAAAAATTAAAAAGAGAAATAACACAAGAGGCCCGTCATAGTAAAATAATGTTTTCATGAAAGCGGATTACCATCGGGGACATCATCAAGCATGAAAGTACCCGACGTGAAGTTTCGACCCAGCAAACATTGCACGAGATTTCGAACAAACAATGGTGTTCAAGGAGAAAGATGAACACAATAAAAAAAACAAGAGAGATGGACACAAAATCAAAGTTTGAATGAGCAAATGGCGTTCAAGCGAGGGAGAAATAGAAGAAGAAGACAGAGAGACCATATTTTCTACGAAAGAGGTGAAAATTAAGGGATTAGTTCAAATCTTACAATTAAAGAAGACGTCCAAATATCAATCCCTATAATGAAGAGATTACGTGCATTTACATATTCATAATAACTTAAAGCATCTTCAAATAACAAGTTAAAATTGCCAAATAAACATACAACATTAAAAAATGGCAGCAAAATCTTCATCTGAGCCTTCAGTTGCTTACGTGGAGCTAAGTAATTGAAGGCAAAGCCATATGCTGTCTTTTTTTTATAGTTGTTGTCAAATTGATTTAATGATTTTTTTAATAGGTGTGATGCAATTCATAATATATGTTGTTGTGTATTTCAAGTATTTGATTGGTTGTCTCAATAATTGAACCCTACAAAGAGACGAAAAAACTTGTAGAATTGTTTTAGGGTGGATGAAGTGGAAGAGTGCATTGGGTGGGTTGTGCAACCGTCGTATAAGTTCAAAGGAAAATTTTGTAGGACGGCAATAAGGCCAGCAATGCTTTATGACATGGAATGTTGGGCGGTCAAGCATCAAACATGATCAAGAACGAGGATATTCGAGGTAAACTAGGAGTAGCCGAAATTGAAGATAAGATGAGAGAAAATCAATTAAGGTGATTTGGACATGTGAAACGAAGACCTACAGACACTTCCGTTAGAAGATGCGATTACGAGATAGAGGCTCAGGGCCAAAAGGTAGAGGAAGAATTGGAAAGAGACTCTAAGAAAAGACTTGAAGTACTTGGATGTAATGGAAGACATGGCACGAAACCGAGCTCAAGGGCGTTCTAGGATTTATACAGCCGACCCCAATTAGTGGGATAAGGCTTTAATGTTGTTGTTGTTTATTCTAGGCCTATTTTACTACAGGAAATGAGAGGGAGAGGGTTGTGGTAAACAAAGAGAGAAGAGAGAGCTTGTTGATTTTGTGGTGATTATTTCCTACCCCATTGTGCATTATTTATAGTAGTGAGGGAGAAAATCTTACTCTCTAAGGAGTACAATTCCAACTAGAAACTATCTAACAGATATTATAGAATCCTACTAGGATGTACACAATCACACTTCTAATGAACTTGGAACTACAATACTTCCCCTTGAGTGTGGAAATCCTCAAATAAAAGTCGCATCTGCTTTTGGCAGTAACGACATTTGGTGAGGTGTCATGGTAATGGATTTGCTTGACTTCAATCTTTTGATGCTCTTGTTACTGATATGAGAAGAACAATTTTGGTGCAATATGATTGGTGTTGTCTCATTTAATTATCACTTATTGGTCTTGTCAATATAGGTAGCATCTTTAGTTGTAGGGACATCAACGTCCAAGAAAGTCTGCAAGTGATTCAAATATGCTTGACAACGACTCTCAACCAAAAACATTCACACGTAGCTTCATGTAGGGCGAGAATTTCAACATGGTTCAAAAAACTCGCAACTAAGGTGTACTTGGTTGACCTCTAATAGTAAAGATATAACTCGTTGAGAAAGTGCTTTTTACAGATCAGACGAATAACCTACATCAGCATAACCAACAATGGCTCAACAATTGTTAAGCGTCTTTCTCCCAAGCTCGTCCGCATGTAATAATGGGTGCAACAATTGTAAAACCCCAAAAGCAGCTTATGCATCATTGCAGGAAAACCAACTGACAACCACACAAGGAAATGGCCAACAACATCTAAGAGAGGCAATAGTATGCTAGAGTTTTCTCCTCACTATGTTGATCTGCAGTTGCATCCAATTTATTCAAATCAATACAAATCCCAAATCATTTCCCAAAATTGAAAACTCAAAGTATTCGATTACCCAATTCTCTTTAAATGTTGCTAGTATTGCATGTTCTGGTAGCGTGGTTGGAGGCAAGAGAAAAGGTGGGTTTCTGTGGTGGTTACTGAATCGGGGCAGAATGGGAGTTGTTGGAGGTGGTTTTTTTTTTTTTTTTGTTTTATAGTTGACGTTGCATTGGGCTTGTTTATTCATAGCCATCTGGAGGAGCTCATCCTCTTTTAGGTCATCACTGTCGCTAGTTGGGAGGGATCTCAAGTTGAGAAGAAATAGTGATGGTCAAAGTCTAGAGATACCTCGAATTGGGACTCGAAGAGACGATCGAGAGATGGAGACATCAGGGGTAGCTCGATTGAGCTGACTTCATTGACTCTAAGAGAGACAAAGACTTTGTGATTAGGTGTGAATCAATGGTGGAAATTAAATCAATGGTAGAAACAGTTCTAGTCAGGCCCTCATTTTCTCAGATTTTTGGACCCGCCCCGTTCTGCGCCGTTTGTGTTTAGATTTTTTGGTCTACCCCAACCTGCGGGTCCAAGACACGTTTGCCCACCCCTAACTGCAACTATCAAAAAACCGACATGTGATTTTTTTTATTAACATGCATGAGTAAAATTCATTATTTACATATCCTTGACTAATCAAATACTCACTCAGATGGTTATACCACATCCACCCAGATTGTTTCAATCCTTAAAATGAACGCCTCAAACTAATCGAAATGGTGTTTCGTGATCTAAAATTATTTGATCCAGTCAATATAAGTCCTTCGGGAACTTTCATGTAGATTTCTCCGTATTAAGATTCCCATAAAGATACGCAATTACCACTTCCATAAACTACATATTCAGTTTTCAGAGACTACCAAACTGATAAGGTAGCAAAACGTTATAATGCCTCTTACGAGGGAATCTTCATGTAATCAATCCCAGGGCATTGAGAGAAACCTTGCGCCATGATGCATGCCTTATGTCGCACTATATCATTCTTCTCATTAAGCTTCTTTACGAAAACCCACCTATAACCAACAAGCTTCACATGTAAAGGTGTAGGAACTACAAGCTCAAACACTTTACGTTTCGCAAGTGAATCAAATTTGACTTGGATTGCTTGTTTCCAATCTGACCAATCAGTTCTACGTCGACGTCATCAACGATAGGTTCAATATCATCGCTCATCATGATATTAGTAGCTACTGTGTATGCAAATGCATTATCAACTATCATCTCATTCTGATTCCAACCTCATCCAACTAGCATAATGAATTGCAATCTCATGATTCTCGGGAGGCAGATTTGTCTCTTCCAAATCGGTTCCATAATCCAAAATAACCTCATATGTTGGAATGGTTCAATAGGCCATGGTCAGATTCAAACTAGTTTCACTAGGGTGTGTTGTATGTTTTCTCTTCCAGATTTTGAATTCTTTACACTAACAGGTCTGCCACGCTCCAGGGTACAAGCAAATGATTGCTAGTTGCCAATGTACTAGGCCATGTAGCAAATGTGGCTATTTCGAAGGCAATGTTTCGACGTAAATGAGGTACATATTAGGGGTGGGTTCAAAAAACCAAAAACCGAAAAAAACCAAAAACCAAATCGAACTGAAGCTGGAAAAAAACATAACTGAAACTACCGAACCGAACCGAAAAAAAAAAACCATATATAAATTCCTAAAAAATATGTTGGTGTCAAGGTTTGAACCCCAAGTTGGGATTGTTGCTTCAAGTCAACTTGACTATAGTCTTTGTATTGTTATAACTGTACTAGTAAGTTATTTATAGGTTTCTAATATTTAATGCTTTATAAAATTTCTTAAGTTTACAAACCCTAGCTGTCACTCACTCCCATTTCAATTTTCACCTTTTCTTAAACACTCTCTCTCCCCCGGCTGCTTCCTCTCTCTCTCTCTCTCTCTCTCTCTCTCATCTTCAGTTTTACCCCGGCAAGAGAAGAAGAGACGACATGGTGGCTCTGAACTAAAGTCGTCAATCTCCGATCTCCGTTTGTTGGTTTTATTTATTTTTCAATTTATGGGTTTTTAATTTTATGGTTACTCATTTGAAATTTATGTAATTTAAGGTGGAGAAGTTTGTATTTTTCTCTGAATATTTTTTGAATTTTCTAGATCTATTGTGGACTTAACTTTGAATTTGAATGTGGGCATGCGATATTGAAGTCTGATTATGGCATTTAGACGAACCCATTTGCTTTGTTTTTGTTTTGATCTGCATTGATCATTTAATTTGTTGAATTATTTCATCATTTTGCAAATTTTAAAGTTTTGGAATTTTGAATCCTGGCGATGTACATTTCCTTGAAGAATATATGTTTCTGTATTTGCTTAAGTTTTGAAAATTTGAATTCGATCTACTTGATCATAAGTAGTTGAATTACTTGAATATATTCAAGATTTTGAGGATCTCAATTCTCTAATATATGAGAACTAGGAGGTTGATAGGCATTAGGTTGGTTCCTTCCATTTACACAAGTAGTAAACTAGTATTTACCCTTAAAAAAATTAGCTCTTTTTTTAATTTTAATAATGATTTATACTTGAATGTATTAAACTAATATTTACCCTTAAAAAAATTGGCCCGTTTTTTAATTTTAATAATGATTTATCTAAAACATTAGTGTATTTTAATATCTTCAGGAATATGCTAAAGACCTATATATAACGTAAATTTACTTGTTCAAAAAAACACCAAAAAAACAGAAGTGAAATCAAACCACTTGAGACCAAATATATGACGTTGCGAAATATAATATATATGCATCCTCCAGATCCAAATGTTACAAACCCATCAAAAGCTTGGACATACATATCAAAAATCAAAATCATGACAGGCAAATACAGCTTAGTATCCAAAAATGAATTGGACGAAAAACAAAAAAACAAATTCTACGAGCAGAAAGAAAAATTGAATCGACAAATACATGATAAATGTTTTCAAGTAAGCCTTGAACCCATCCTTGTAATACTCGGGAAAGCTGTAAGAAGCTGGCAGGAATGTAAACTTCTATGTACACACCCTCTCTTCGCCTAAAGGATATTCTACTAGAAAAATCATTAAGTAGGGCGGCCCCGCCTCACCCACCAATAATGCATGCAAAGCAAAATATAAATCATCAATTAATATCAGTCTAGTAGCGCATCTAAAAGTATCTGCTGCCTGAAGAACCTGGCGGTGCAGGTGGCAACCGATTTGGAGTACGACGGCTACCAGAGTTTGGACCAGAGTTCACATCACCATTTTGTGCTGGATCACTATAATGTCGGCTGTGACCATTGGATGAAGATCTAGATAATGAAGAACTACGGTCAACTGGGCCATTAGCGGCAGCATCAAAGGCGGATCTCCAGTCATCACCTGATGCACCATTGGATGAAGATCTTGGGCTGCTTTCTGCAAAATTAACAACAGCGTCCACAAATTACCAACCAAATAAAAGTCAAAAGAACAGAGGTAAAAGTTTAGATCAATTTTAAGGTCCCCCATTGTTGGGAAAAACAACAATTTGCATAAGAATTCCCTGGCCCAACACCATCTGGGGTCTTCCCAGGTGACAAGAAAAGCAAAGAAATCTAGAATTACAAAGGTAATATTCGCAATATATGTTGCAAATTATAAGCACTTTCTATTATTTATATATTAATAAGCAAGTCTCAAGATTATATAATTTTATAATCACATCAAAACAAAACGATAACATTTCCTATTGCATACCTGGTGCACCACTACCACCGTTGGACCAGCTGGATGCAGCAGCTGCTCGGTTGTCATGAATGCTGAGTTGGCGTGTAAGTTTGGAAAGGAGTGATGACTGTTTCTGGTAGCGCTCCCTCCTCCGCTTCACATTCTGATCCTCCTGAAGCAGCTCTTCAATCTTTGCTGTGCTTTGAGCACTACCCACAGAAAAATGAAAATACTTATCAAACATAATTATTGTTTGACACAAATAACATGAGAAAAGCAGCCTAACAAGGCTTAACAAGTCCATATTTAAAAATAAATGGATACATGGAAAGAAGGAAAGAAAATATCAAGTTAACCTGACAGAGCTATATAGCTGATTTAACATGTCTTCCTTGGCCTTTTCAACTTGGCAAAGAACAACTGCCTGCTCAACCGATAACAAAATGCATTAAAGAATTTTCCAAGTGTCCAATCATAAGGACAACAAATACAAAGCTGATCTTCCAAGCTTACCTTAGGGACATTAGCAGCCAAACTATTCAAAACAGCTTCAACATAACCGCGAACTTCTTGAGACATCCACCGGAGTTCTTCCTCAGGGTCAGCAGGTCTTCGAGTCATTGTATCCTAAAAAGAGGTTACATGACAACTTGACACTTCAGAAATACAAAGCTAAGGCTACAGGTCTTAATAATTTGTTAATTGCATGTTTTTTAAAACTCCAATGTATGATACACGAACTAACCTACTTTTCATGTTTAATACACGTTATTTAGACTCATATGTCAATAATACACATAAAATTTTCGTATTTTTAACATATTATTGAAAAAAATAGATATTTTTTATAAATAAATATTAAATTTTCAAAAAAATGGCCGAATTTTTTGAAGTGCATTTTTTAACAAAGTTGCCTCATCATACTCCCATTCCATATTTTACTATGTGCATAATTGTAGTGTGGCAAATTCATACATAGGCTATGTTTGGGCGAAAAATTTCCTAGCCCAAAGGAATTGAGGTCAAGTTACCAAGGAATGGATCACAAAAAATTAGATGAGAAGGATTAGAAACTCCCTCCATGAGCATTACAAAGGTTTGTTAGAAGCAAATGCAAAATCCTACTTGGAAGGTGTCATTTGCAAATCCCTCCTACATGCCTTTGTAATGCTGATGGAGGGCTTTTCTAATCCCTCCTATCTAATTTTTTGCGATCCATTGAGCTCTATCCCTTGGAACTTGGAGATCGCTCACCCACACATAGCCATAAGTAATCGCAACTACAAAGAAATAGGCAAGCCTCAGAAGATACTGAAAGAATAAATATCAAAATTCACAAAGGACACTCACACACATACACAAGCATCCATTCATAGTATCACAATTATAAAAGTTATCGAAGTCAACAACTCACAAGAGAACCATCAGAAAGACTTTGTCGCATTGTAGGACCACCTTCAGTTGAAGCACCCCTCATTAGTCCTTTAGAAGGTTGAATAACCTTTCCAATCTTATTTATCCACTCTAGCTTGTCTGCCACAGTCTCTGCCTTTAGCACAACGGCGCTGTGCGCTGCAAGAATAAACGGATTTTAGAAAGATGATAATGAACTCATGCGGAAGACTGGGTGAAGCCACTGGCAGACACCTACTGACAACCAAAAATGAGGATATACCTTCAGAACAGTTTTATATGGAACTTTGCTAGTTATCTTAAACACAAGACTGGGTGATTTTTCTGGTCCATTTGACTTTTTGTCCTTTGAGCTCTTTGATGGAGGTGGTTCATCCTCATCTGAAGCCTCTTCAATATTACACTCCTGCAATACAATTATGGGCTTGGTCATTGCCACTACTGGCATAATTGCTGTTAACATGCACAAACATGCTGTTTTGACATGTTTAATATAATGTTTTGTGCATGCATAATGCTAGTCACATTATTAACCACGACAAGCATTCAGTTCTATACATACGATTTCACTATTCCAAATTTCTATTATACTTTCTAGGGATTAACTTGGTTTCCTAAAGCTCAAACCGTGTGTATATGCTACTCTCAAGCCCAGTCAAAACAGTAGTATATAACATCATGGAAACACATTCACCAAAAAACAAAAAAAACCTCGGCATCAAAACATCACTTTCTAGTCATCGGGTTACACTATATATTCCTTCCAGAGGACATCCTATGCAAGTATAACAGATGGCAGTATGATAATTAAATTATATGAATTTTGACGAGGTAAGGCATTGAAGGATTCCAATACCTCCAAAGTGATGACACCACGGAAGTGTCTCTCCTCTTGCTTTTTGGTGTAACCAAGCTGTGAAATAAAGAGGGTGGCCAAGACATATCAACATAACAATTTGCAAGTGTAAAAGCAGCATCAATAATATCAACACATTCACAATCTAGAGTTCAGAAGTGAAATAAAGATAAATAATGTAAGAAGCAAACAAAAGACACCATTTCCAACATATTGCGACACGTATATAATCTGCAAGCTAGCAATTGTTGTCTAGCAATAAGAAATTTGAAAGAGACGTAAGAACATTAAAGGCATAGAAAAATTTATGATGGAGATCAAGACTCTCCAACAAATCACAACTCTTGTTATCTTCTTCATTAATATGAGGCACACTCTTCACCCAAAAAAAGATGAGGCATGACTAACTCCTAAACTTTATTTGCTCTTTGAAAAAGATGTAAACTGGTACGGGGCATTTTAAAGATGATTGCTCAGCATTTTTACAACGAATTAAACATATTGTCACAAAATTGTAAATCATGCACCAAACTTGTACAAACCCCACACACCAACAAAAGAAAATAATAATAGTTTAAACAAACTCAAAATGATCACTGCCTTAAACTTCATGCATATCAAAATATACAAAGATCGCACCACCATGTGTCACCTATTTGATGCGTCATATTCATCGAAACACAATAATCCATAAGCGTTATGTACGCCTGGATTTCTCAGGTGTATGAGTGTAATTTTACAAACCTTTCCAGTCTTTTCATTCAAAACAAACCATCGCTTGCTCCATCCATTAGTTTTGGCACTTTTTTTATACAAGAAACCTGCAGATATTTGAAACTACAACATTAATACATGCAATTTATAAAACTTAAGAAATCTACATGGTTAAGCAAACCCCTGTTAAACCAACCCAAGATGGTTTCAAAATTAAAAGTTGTTTAAGTTGCCAGCTTCTTTCAAGAATTCAAAGTTATCACACCTAGCATACTAATGTAAAATTGTAAAAAGAAAAGGCAATAGCAAATACATGACCAGAATCACACATTACAGTTCCTTGATTAATTACGCTGAGTTTAAAATCTCAATAGTTAATATCATCATCTTATTAATTACGAATCAGGGGACAGGTGATTGAATTAGAACATAAAAAGACCTGCCTTGTTTGTTTCAACATTTCCTGGGTGACCCTCAAAGGTCTCTAAAGAATATGTTCATGCATTTTTTGCAAAACTTTATACAAAAAATGACGTAATTGCCTACTAATTGCCAAATATTTTTCAAGGATTCTAAGTTTAGGATAATGCACTAACAACATGCATAGAAAAAGAAAAACCTCCATGGAACGTTGTTTAGGTAATTCTAAGTTACAAGATAAAATAGAACTGTCTCACATATATAAGTATTGGTGTTTAGCTAAATGAAAAATTAAATACCACTTAGAGGGCATTCAATTAGGAAAACTCAAGAAAAAAAAGATGGTAGCTGCAATCCTGTTTCCCAAAGATATCAATAAAATATAACTATTTCACATAAACCCTGTTCCAAGAAGTCAATATTACAAGCATTTGCATACAAACCTGCTGTTATTTCTCCTTCAGGACCTGCAGTCTTCAAACCAGTTGCCTCCTGTAATTCTTTGCTGTCTTTACCAGATTTATCCTTATCCTTCATTGATTTCATGCTTCCACCAGCTTGTTCCCCCCCTGTTTGAGGACTAGTTGCCTAAAAAAAGCGGATAATGAACAGTAAGAACAAGCAACTTAGATAATTAAAGGTCAAGAGAAATTAGCTCTGTACGCAAATGAAATTCATGTCTACACAATATTTTCATTTTCATTAATTTTGGTATACATAACTACAAAGAGTCAGTCAGTCCATACCCGATTCATTATTGATTGCTCTGCCTCTTGTCCTTTCTTCGAAGATCGATTTTTCACTTCTTCCTCTCTACGCTGCCTCTCCATCCTGTAATAGACCAAGAATTAATATATTGTTTAACAAGCTGCATAAACACACATCAGAATACTGACTCAAAACAAAGAATTTTAATAAACTAGCCCACAGGAACAAAATGTGTTGCGAGCATGAGCAGGCAGACATTCTATGAACTCTCACAAACTATATGACATTAAGGTATCCACTTCTTGATTATCCATCTGCACAGGCAAAAATCAACTACACATGCCATAACGCTGCAATTAAAAGGAATTGACTGCAAATGCAAGAAAAGCAGCTTAAACATTTTGTGCCTGGAACCCGTATTATGTGTCAACAGTCAAACAGAAAAATAGAGACTACCTCCTTTGCACCAAGCGAATGAAGTGTTGGGGAGGCACAAAAGCACGCTCCATATCTACAAGTGCAACCACCATTTTCTTTGCTTCATTCTTAAACGCATCCAATGCAGCACTTGCAATGGCCACAACCTTGAAAGAATTGAAGAAATGAAATTAAGAAGTACAGAAGCTATTCATTAGATTAACTGCTGTAAAATACAGAGCTAAACGCAAAAAGACTGTACAATATTTAAGGTTTCGTACCTCCCTCTTGAAAGGAGGGTATCTTCCAAGACCTGGCGTAGCATTAGCAGCAGCAGAAACTATATCCACCAGGACACGATGTACCTGTTTAATCAATCAACAAAAAAATGGGACTTCTTTATTACTTGATATTAGAATAAACCCAAGGAAGTTTAGAGCAAATAATGTCTAAAACAGAAAGCATACTGTAAATACAATCTTGAAGACAAAAAAAATAGATCAAAGTAAGCGATTTTCATCATTTCAATGGCTCCAGACACAGAAAATCAAATTATAATTAACTCAATACGAAATGGAGAAAAGAATGAAGGGAAAGGTTAGCCTTCTGTAGACTCGAAAACGGAAAAGGTACATGGAATTCAAACAAGTGCAGAAGCACTTAGCTAGAATTACCTCATCCACACAAAGACGTGATGGCTCCTTTGCAAGCTCTAAGACCCCTTTTATTAAAGACCTCAACCCCTTTTCAGGGGATATGAGATAAGGTTGATAACCATCTGCTTCCAACACAATCTAAATAGAACGATAGCAAAAGGTCATGCGAAGTTAAGAAATTTTAAACCTCAGAAAAACAAAACCAGGACAAAACATACCCTCTTCACATTATTGATATCAAAATGTCGGTCTAATGGGAGTTGTTTTATTCTATTTGGGAAATTTCCTTCAAAACTTGCAACAATTTTCCATCCAGAACCCTGCATAGAGATTGCAAACCATATGAACTAATAATCCAAATAAATCCATGACAATCATATACCAGAAACATTCTATTTCATCATAGGAAACTAAATAGTACCATATACCCTAAGAGATTCAACTATTCACAAAATCATAAAAAATGTGATAAACCACAAAGTATTAACAAACAGACCAGTTTAACTACAAAAAAAAAAAATTGAAGCTAATAGGTTTACGATCCATTTCAATAGAAAAGATAAATTGAATGTCCAACTGATAGAAGCTTGGGAATAGAACAAAACATTATTCTTAGATACTTAAGACTGACTCTTCTATAAGTACAATATGGCCTACGTCTATAAACCCATAGCAAGGAGTGAATTATGAGATTGTAAGCCAACCTTCAAGAAGGTCTCAATGTCCAACAATGATCGGACAAACCTCTTCATTAAAAAAGAAGGCCCAATACATTACAAGATTTTAAATTAAATATACACTTTTAAGGTGAGAAATTGACTTGGGAGGAATTTTATCTTGTTGCCACTCATCCACTTTTCATATATGAGGTTATGAACTATTCAATTTCTTGTTTTTTCATTTATCAAAAATTTAAAGGAAATAAAAAGATATATATACCAAAAATACTTAGCACTGCACAAGTCGACCATTTAAAGAACTCACCTCACCAGTTGTAATGTGTTGGAGAAACTTATCCTCAAACTCACGGCAAAGCTCCAAAGCTAGGGATCTGGTACCCTCAGCACTCTGCACCATAGATGCACCAAGCTTTACTAACTCATCCTGAACTATTTGAGACTTCCCTTGTAACCTGGAAAAGAATAAAAATAACTATTAAGTTGAAACTGACCAATTCATGAAGGAAAAAAAAAAATACCAAAGTTGAAGCAGGGAACGTATATTATTCAAGGTAACAGTTGGATCAGTAAGTTTTCATGTTCTACACTGATACTTACAGGTATATTAAAGTGGTGATTGATCTAACTTTATTAGGTCAATGCAAGTGGAATGGCCAGGTGAGATCTGAGAAGCACTTAGAAATGCATAACACAGTAAATTAATAAATTATCCTAAATCTTTTGAGGAATGTGTATCTCATAATTAGTAAAGGTACTAGAAAACAATCCATCACAAAACATCTGGGATGGAGTGGATCAGTCCAGTAGAAAAACAAATCCGAGAGCGAGGTAACAAGAAAATAACCCTGACCAAACAGCAGCAAAAAGTCTCCAAACGTAGAAATAATAGGAGGTATGATATGACCATGACTGGGCCCATCTCCCTAGAAGCAGACAATGAAGGGAGCGGGTGGCAACTTGTAGGTGGGCTAAGCTTTTCTTCATTTTTACTGAAGCCAAGGTTTTTTTCTTCTAGTGGAAGCTAGGTTCAAGGTTCAGATACTGGCACAGTAGCTAGGTTTTTTTCTTCTTGTGAAATGGCAACAAACATATTCTCAATTTGCGTGTTTTGAATAATATGAGAAATGTATAAGAATATTATAAAACAAGTTAAACAGAATTCATGAAAAATTACCCAGAAAGGAGGTTTGGAAGTCGAACTTTCATACGGCTACGAATCTGCTGTGCCAGAGCATCCACCAACGCTATTCTGCCTAGCTTACTTTGAGGAGCTCCGGTCAAAATAGACTTCAGACTTTCACTTTCAGCCCTCCAGGCGGTTTCTAGAGAACTTTCAGAACCTCCAGACTGTGCAGAAGCTATTGAAACTGATTGACCTATTAAAGCAACCCAAGGGATATCAGATGCTCTTGATGGTCCTTGATTTAACAGAAGAGCCTGGACTGCAGAAAGTGCTTTCTGATCTGAAGCAGCTTGGTCTATCTTGCTAATAACACCAACAGTTCTGGTACCTGTAATCAACAGTTTGATTTGTCCTTTGAATCACTTCAAACAACTAAGCATAACACTATAATAAAATAATGGGGGGATGAAGAGAATGATATTGGAGGGAGTCAATTAATCTACAAGAACTCTAACATGCAGCATTACTAACAGATCTGATCACTATTAAAACAATTCGAGATCAAAGAATAAGCAACCCACTCCCTAAAGTAGGGAAAGGGTCGTACAAACTAAATAGCAATGTTTTTACCATCTGCATCATACTCCTTGACGACTCTGAGGGCTCGAGATGAAGCAACTTCAGGTGCTTGAGATGCAGGAACTATAACAAGCAAAATTGAATCATTGTGCTCAGCATATTCACTAATCTACAAAAGTTAAAGAATTTCATTTCAGTACCAAGTTGAAATTCAGTAATGGGAGTGGTGGTGCCACTGAGGCATCAAATAGTCTAGAACTGCAAACAATCACATACCATAGACTCATCCATGATCCTTTGATCAAGCCCAGGTAAATCAATCAATTTGAGCGGTGGGGCTGCAATAAAAATCATGTTAGTAACCATAAAATTTCAATAACCACTTATCATTAATGACTGAGTTAAGAGACTGGAAGATAGGTAATAACTAAACTAACCTGTACTTGTTCGTAGCTTCAAATTAATTTCATCACGGGTTTTTCCTGTGGCGTTTCCCAGCCTACCTTGCAGAGAATGCCGTAAAGCACCTGAACAACAAGCACATTAAAGTTTAAAGTTGACACAATAAGAATGAGATTAGCATGGTTATGACACATTATGTATTCAATACATCATGAAGTATTTCTAGTATCACATAGGCTTCAGCTGAGTATAAGCCAGCATGAGTTAAAAGGCCATTCAAAAGGGGATTCCTAAAGTTGACCAAAGATTGCCAAACACAAGCAACAGTAAAACATGAACTTGAACTAATGTAAGAACACAAAAGTGTAGTGACTGACTTGCAGAAACTTGCTGAGATTTATTGTCAATCTGCAATATAATAGATTTGCTGCTCAAGGAACCATCCCTCTGCAAATCAATGCTAATGGGAGCTCGAGTAGCACCATTTTCACCAGTTGGCTGAACGGAGAAGAGAAACATACTTTAGGACAAATTGGAGCTTTTATTAGGTCACATGCCACACAAACCTTATATATTTTATCCTACTTACCAAAACAGGATGTCCAATCAAACTGTTCAAAACTGCTGATTTACCCGCACCCTGACAATAACAACCATGAGAAAAGTAAATATTTATCAGAATCTGCAAGTGAGCTCATTATGGATAAGTGGAAGATTAATTCCAGACACTAAGAAAGACGACATTCAAATTTAATATCTTTCAAATGTAAATTCATCTCTTCGTTTCTTCTCAAAAAAGAAAATGTAAATTCATCTTCAAGCTGTTTATTGTCGCTTAAGAGAATAGATAACCATTGAATAAAACATATATAAACAATGAACAAACAAAGGCACATATCCGGGCATGCCCGACAATGCACACCATAAGCACAGCTAGAGAACAAGTCAATTAAGAAAAAGTTTACTCCCTATAAATAAGGAATTTATAAGAATAGAAGCAGTGAAAACTGTTGAATGTAACTTTCTTCAGTTAATTCAGAGCAACAAAGTATGGCGAATCGTGGAAGCAAAGTAGATGCAGATCGCCAAGAACTGCCCGAGACTGTGAAATCATAATCGCTTTTGGTGGTCGTTCTCAAAGTTCGCAATTTCAAATCAAACTCCATTAACCGTTTAAATTTCAGATTCATTATATCTGTCTTCTGGTAGCTATGATTTTCAGTCATCAGTTAGTGAGACAAACGCACAGGGTACTCAGACTGTAACCCACATCGATTACGAAACATGAATTAGGAATCCAAAGACGCAGCGTGGATTCAAAGATCTCCGATTGAGACTGAGCAAGCCGATTCAAAGAGATCAAACTGCGAACGAATCGAATCGAAAGGGGATTGGTTGACTTACAACATTGCCGAGAGCGACGACGTTAAGGAAACTGGAAGCCCTGCGAGAGGAGGTTGTGTTCTCGTCCACATCTTCGTCGGCAAGGATAGCGGTGCCTTGCCGCATCGAGTCTGATAGCTGCAACAATTCCTCGATCGCCTCCATCGCAGCAGAGGGTTGAGGATCAAAGATCTGAGAGGGAGACCGACGGATCTGATTGAAACCCTAGGAATTGGGAATTCGGGAACCAAAACGATCTCGTTTGGTGTGGATGGGTTTCTCGCTCGCTCTATCTCTCGTTTCTTTGGAGGAAACTGAAATTGAGGGATTAAGAGATATCGAGCGAACTGCGAGCCAAGCAAGAAAACGAATGCAAGGAAAGGGGAAATGTGGGAGAAGCTCTCTCTCTCTAGACTCTCTCTCTCTATCTCTTTCTTTCTTCCCACTTTCTCTCTCTTGCGTTTTGAAATCTCATACTCTTCTCGCCATTCTCTCTCTCTCTCTCTCTCTCTCTCCTCTTTCTTTTATTTTGAATCTTGTTTTCAAGTATTTAGCTCGGTTCCGGTTCCATTTCAATGTTTCAATTTGCTCCACTATTTTTCTCTCTGCTGTTTTTTTTTTTTTGGGTTTTTTTAAATAGATCAAAGTAACTAAAAATTAAATCTATTTCAAAAGTCAAAAGTCACTAAAAATTAGATCTATTTCAAAAGGTTGTCTATAAAATTGGAAGTATTTCAAATTTTCCCTTTTTTTTCCCTCTCAAATTCTCATCTTTTTCCTTTTTTTGTTACGTTTTTTTTTTGGAGATTTCTTTCGAGAAACACTAGCTAAATCTTGTTTTTGTTATCACATTCACATTCACCGTATCATGTGAGATGTATTTATGACATTAATTATTACTAGCATTTCCGCATGTGGTGTGTGAGAGGTATTTTTGCGTCACGGGCATTATGCGTCCAAAGATATGTTGTTTTAGATATTCTTATATTTCTTAAGCAATTATTTTATAAATTGTGGGTGTGTGTCCATCACAACAATTTCTTATTATTTACAATTTCCTATTATTTTCAATCATCTAACTTAGTCTTTTTGCACCCGCCCATTGTACAGAAAAAATTAAACTTATGAATTGCACGCTAACCATTCCACATTTTTTTTTGCTTGCTGATTATTATGGTGTCATTTTTTTTTTAGAGGATGTGAACATCAATGCATAAGGGGAGTTGTAAGAGCAACTCAACATTGCAAAGGCCCCCTAGGGCAACTCACTATTGAATCCTCCCAGTGAACAATAACTACCTTTAATGAACAGTAACTGTCTTTTGCATCTCCACCCTTAAACTGAATAGTCATGGCAATAAGCAATAAAATATTATTATTTTTTATTTTATAAAATAATTAAAAAAATAGTTTTATTTCAAATTTTGGATATGATTTTTAATCGGTCTCGTTGTACCATGTTTCATTAAATAAGAAATTACAACCCAAAGTATTTGAGAAAATATAAAATTGTGGTGTAAGATGGAAGATAATGATAAGATATTTATAGAAAAGTTTTTTTTTTTAAATTTTTCGGATTTTTTATTAATTGTTTACATTATTTATTTATTTTTACATTTTTTATTTATTTTTTACATTTTTATTGCTTTTTTACATTTTTTATTAATTTTATAATGTGGCTAACATCAGCCTTGCATCATGTAGCCTCAGGCTCTCGGGCCACCAATTCGAGCTAAGCCACTCACTCAGGCCTCCCCGAGCCCTATTGCTCAAATGGGCTGGAGTAGATTGCTAGGGCTATTAGGTCATTTATGTCATCGGTCCATCAGGCTCCAGCTCCCGCTGAAGTTGCTCTAATGTGAAGCTTTTGATGGCCGAAGTAGGGGACCTTGGCCTTATACTTCTTCTAAAGCTTAATTTGATGGGCCTCAATCCCTAATCTCACTTTCCTGGAATTCAAGACCACTGCTCAGCTGTAATACAATAGATTTCTACTCCAATCCAAACAAAGCAACTCAAGTAAGGTCAAACCTAATAAGTTGCCACATTGCCCCCATTCACTACTAAATGATGCAATTCAGGGTATGAACAACATGAAGGTTAGACCCAATAAGTGAAAATTAAAGGAAAAACACAAAATGGAGAACATAATAAATCTCTCTTCCTCTCTCTCTCATGCAAAATGTCAAATATCTACCCAAGTCCTTAAAACAAAATTTTCAGATTCATAAGTTTTCAGTCAAAGTTATAGGCTAGCTAAGGATGAACTCCTAATATATGAAGCAAAGCAAAATATGGACAACATGTGTGACAACCCGTCCCGAATTATTTGTACTGTAAGTGTGAAATGACGATTTTACCCTTGGTTGTTAGTTGCCATTGTGGGGTGTTGTTTAGTTGTTTCTTTTTGGTTGTTGACTCATTCAGGACCACACACTCACACACACACACCTGTGGACCTTTCTCTTTCTCTTCTCTCTCGGACTTTCTTCTATTTCCGTCAAACCGTATGGACAACCTTCGAACACCATAAACCACTCACGGATGGAGGCTTTAATTGGTGTCTTTGAGTTCTTGGCAAGCTCCTGAGTACATCCATACCATTTTTAGAACTTGAAACCCTCGAAAACCCTAGAACCCGAGATCCCAGTTCGAGGTGTTGTTCATGCATACGTAAATACAAGGGTTTCAAAGGATTCTAAGGTTATAGTGAGCTTTAAGACACTCTCACAAAGCTTGGAGAAGTATTTTGGAAGAAATTGGACGTCAGGAAACTCGAAGTATATGAATGCTTTTTCCTTTCAAGGATATGGGAAGCTCTCTTCCTTGGGTGAGGGTCGCTCTCTCCCTTCAAGGGTGTGGGAATCTCTCCCTTCAAATTATGGGAAGCTTCCTTCCCTCAAAATGTGGGAAGCTCCCTCCCTTCAAGGGTATAGGAAGCTCAGCTCAACCTTTTAAAGTGTGGGAAACTTCGTCCCTTCAAGGGTGTAGGAAGATTCCTCCCTTCAAGGATGTGGGAAGCTCTACCCTTCAAAGTGTGAGAAGCATTTTATAGGACTCCATAAATTGATTTTGCTTCCACACTCTTGAGCAAGAGTGTGGAAGGCAATCTACATATTGTAGTAATTGAAAGTTCAGAGGAACCATATAAATAGATTTTGCTTCCTAACTCTTGAGAAAAAGTGTGGAAGTATTCTACATGTTGTAGTTGTTGGAGGTTTGTTAAACCATATAATACGATTTTGCTTCCACACTATTTAGCAAGAGTGTAGAAGACAATCTACGTGTTGTAGCTGTTAAAGGTTTGTTGAACCATATAATAGGATTCTGCTTCCACACTTTTGAGTAAGAGTGTATAAGACAATCTACGTGTTGTAGCTGTTGAAGGTTTGTTGAACAATATAATACGATTTTGCTTCCACACTTTTGAGAAAGAGTGTGGAAGGCTTTGTTAAGTTTGTATATGCCTTTTCCGAGTTGTAAGGCTTGAAAAATTTTCGACTGTTTATGAATGCTAAGAATCCACAGGTGTAGGATGTATTGTTCTTCCCTAGTTGGTGAAAAGAAGGTAAGTTATTTCATCATCCTATTAGTGAGAAGAGAGGTGAGTTGTTGGGGCAAAAATGTTTATTAAAGTACTAGTTGTATCTTCCACCATCTGGTTGGTGATATGAAGGTGAGTTCCTTCATCACCTAGTTGGTAAGAAGAGTGGCAAGTTACCGAATCTCAACATTGTTTATTAGAGTACTGGTTGTGCTCTTCATCACTTAGTTGGTGATACGAAGGTGAGTTCCTTCATAATATGGTTGATAAGAAAAGTACCAAGTTGTCGAAACTCAAAATTGTTTATTAGAGTATTGGATGCGTTTTTCATCACCTAGTTGGTGATATGAAGATGAGTTCCTTCATGACCTGATTGGTAAAAAGAGTGGCAAGTTGTCGAAGGATATTAGGGTACGGGTTGTACTCTTCATCACTTGGTTGGTGATATGAAGGTGAGTTCCTTCATCACTTGGTTGATGAGAATAAAGGTAAGTTGCCAAGGCACATTGTAGCAAGTGTCGAATGGAAACTGCATGTTGACACCCCTTTGAAGCTCAATTAGTTTATGTATGAATGTGTTGAAATGTATGATGTTTATGTTGATTGACATGAGTGATGCTTATGAATGTTTTGCTATGCATGAAGGAATCCATTGTTTGGATATGTGAACCATGCTGGTTGTAACACTTAGTTTCACTTACTTTATGTCAAATGCGTAATGCTTAAGCTCTGAGTTAAAGTATAGAGGTAGGTCAATGTAGATCAAGTGTTCCAATGCTAGGAATGTAAAAGACCCAGACAAAGTTGCCTAAATTCCCTCTTCATTAAATATTTATCAAATGGCTTGTGTTACAATGGATCTCAAACGATTAAAGGTCAAAACATTTGTAATGCGTATGCCTTCTTGTAAAAGCATTTCCTTTAGCACCTAGTCCCCCATTTTGAAAGAGGGAGGCTTGACCCCATTGTTATAATAGTTAAAGGTACATTCACTCCTGGTTGTCTTGATATGAACCTTTACCCCTCTTGTTGTAAGAGTAAAAATCCTTTCTCTTGCCAAGAGACGAATAAGTTTGGTGACTTAGCAGGTAGCTAAGTGAGGCATGAGACGCAATGGGTGTCTAGGATGGTCAAAACCTTTTCACTTAGTAGAACTTGACTTCCATTCCCTACTTGTTGATAGACGTTAAATCATAGGAGGGTTCCCTTGGTATGTTTTTGCCTGGGCAAAGGCATGATTGTAAACTTGTATCATCACCCCAAAGTAAGTCTTCCAAGTGTTAACATTGATCATGTACTTGAAAAAGCATTCACGCATGCCTATCGTGAAGGCTCTGAGTGCTGTTTTATCATCTGCTTTAGTGCAACGAGAGTAATCCTGAAGCGACCATCATATTCACATAATGACTAGTCCGACTTTTGACAAATGGTGTATAACTCATCAGCGGAGTGTAAGCGATCAACTTGGAAGATGTATTGAGCCATGAAGAGTCTTCTTAGCTCAGCGAAGGAGTCCATAATATTAGGTTGAAGACGATAATACCAATTGAGAGCTCCACAAGAAAGAGTTAAGGGGAATATAAGACATTGTTCCTCATCATTGGGTCTTCAGTATGCCATGGTAAATTCAAAGACGTGGACATGCTCAATTGGATTTTTCCTCCCAATATACGATTGTAAGCCAAGTTTATATTTAGTTTTTCCTTGTAGAGGGGTGCAAAGGATCCTCCTTGTTAGAAGATATGGCCTTGGCTGATTCCAGTCAGGTATTTTGGCTTTACGCTTGGCCTTCAACATGTTCACTTCTTCGAGAAACTACAAGATAAAAGGGTCTTGAGTGGAGTCAGGCACCATTAGAACACTTCTTCATAAGTTTTCCTCATCATTTGGAAGTAGGGAAGTTTGGTTAAAGGCATGTGGCCTTTCTTTGGATTCACCATACTCATTTCTGGGACATGCCCATTGGAAATCCTTTG